ATGGAGCCCATTTTCGCCCGTTTTCGGTTTCTGGTGCCATAGAGCCCCATGTGTTTGAAAACTCCGTCGGCCGCCATTTTCCCATTGAAACTTTCAGAAAATCAGTAACTTTTGATTAAGTTATCGGATCGGGCTGAAACTTTGGCATCTGGTTGTGACCTATAGCACTACCTTTGGCCGGAGAATGAGCGTTCGGCGATGCCTAGTTTATTTTTGCGGTAAAAAAGACCGTGTAAATTTTCTTTTGTGACACCCTGTATACGTAGTCACTGCTGAGAATTTTGTTCTACTTTGTTGTTTGTATTTGTTACCTTTCTTATCCTACATTTATGTGAATACTTGTTTTACTGCTAACCATGGGCGTACCAACCGGGGGGGGGGGGGGGGGGGCAAGGGGGGCACTTGCCCCCCCCCCCCCCCCCCCCCCAGTTCTCAGAGTGGGGGGGCAAGGCATGCGTTTTGCCCCCCCTGAAACGGCCGCCACTGGGCAGAGCAGACACAGGCCGGCGGTGCTCACGCACGCCGGATTGGCTGGTTCGTAAAGCCTTGCTCCACGAACAAGGCTACACGGTAACCTTACGGAATCCATCCGCGAGACATGGGCCGGACGAACCGTCCAGACCAGGACGTAGGCCCTTACACAAAATAAAGTTTTGCTTGCTTGCTTGGAGATAGGCGCTGCCGCCGTCAACGTAGGCAGCGGATGCAATGCGAGTTTCCGAAGAGGTAGCGTAACTTAGTGGTGAGATGTCTGCCTCATACGTGTCAGACCCGGGTTCTATTTATGGTGTGGGCCGGCTTACTTCTTTTTATTTTTTTTCTCGAACATTTTGTTTTGTCGAGGCATTTGGCGATATTTACATTTCTTTTTTACCATTAACACTAAAAAAACGAATGTTGTTGACGAAACATCGCTAAACTAAATCGTATCGACTCTATTTACGGAAGTGCATGGGGGGCAGCGGGGCTTGGGTTGCCGACCGGCCGCCGCAAAGCGGCGTGTACGGGGGGTGGGGGGGCTAGGTGGGTTAATAGATTTGTAATTAGCAGCCGCACACCGTCACCGCGAAGCGGCGTGAACGCAGGCGCGGGGTGGGTTAACGCACTTCGAGTGATACACGAGCAGCCCATCCGGCGTGAGCGTCGTTGTTAGGGGTTCTATCGCCTGCACCGTAAAAGGAGCAGTGTGTGCACCTCCTGTAGTGGGCAAGAATTCCTACATTGGAGAGAAGCGGGGACAAGCCCTTTCTTCAAATGCGTCAAGTCTCCTTGAGCTTCGGAATACAAAGAAACGCCACTATTCGGAGCTAATCCCACAGTCACTCGACCTCTCTTGCGTCGTGTCTGTTCGCTCCCCGCGCCTCGTAGCAGTGTTGTTGCAGTGGGGGGGCTCGTTAAAATTTTGGGTTTTTTTGGACTATCTAAATCACTTTCTTCCTTCCCATCCCCCGTTTTCTACTCCGCATGCTTCCCCCTCTGCAAATATCAGCTGACCTTCCGACCTCTGTTCTCTGTTGATAGGCAAAACAACCACTAAAATTAGAAAGTAATTTGTAATTTGAGTGGAAGTCACTCGGAAAAGTAGTTAAAGTAAACTACTGATTACTAGAATAAAAATGTAATTAAAAGTTACTAAACTACCCAGAAAAGTAGTTAAACTACAGTAACTTGAGTAAAGTAGTTGAACTACGTACAAGTCTGGCCTGGCAAGCGCTCTGCGTAAGTGTTTTCACTGATCTGCCTAGCCCCGCACACCATCACATGGGCCAAGAAAGATGTAGTTTTACTGCAGAGGAGAAATCAGCAGGGTCCAAGATGGTGACAATGGAGGATGGGGGACTGTTCCAGTGGCTGATGGCTTGAGAAAGGAATGACCAATTGAAAGCGTTCGTAGAGCCAGAAGTGTGTTTGATGGTGCAGACGTTGTTGAGGCGAGAAGATGTTCGGTCGAGGGGTAATAACAAAGTGGTTTTGAGGTCGGGAATGTGGTAGTAGATTTTGTGAATAAGGCACAGCTGAGAGACTTTCCTGCGAAGCTGCAAAGAGGACATGGTTAGTTCAGTTTTTAGCGCCGAGACACTGAAAGAAAAGTCATAAGTGGATGAAATGAAGCAAGTAGCTCTGTTCTGAACTGCCTCTACAGCGTATTGATGAAGTACAGTCGATGGGTATTCCAGATGGTTGGAGCATATTCTATTTTTGGTCTGACGTACGTGTTAAAGGTTAGCTTAGGGACAAAGGGTGGAGCGATTTTTTAAGTTACGTCTGCTTAGTCCAAGAGTTCCAGATGAATTGGCGGTAATGACTTCAATGTGGTTATTCCAGGGAAGGTCAGATGTTAGTCTTACACCAAGGTATTTATACACAGTAGCGGTCTCAATCAGATCGGAGTCCAAGAAGTAATTAAATGACAGAGTGGTTTTTTTCTTGGTGAAGTGGATTAGTTTGCGTTTATACTTGTTTGGTGACATAATCCACTCTTTGCACCAATTGTTAATTTTATCTGGATCTTCCTGAAGCTGGTTATTATTTTGCACACAAGTTACTTTGTTATGGATGACGCAGTCGTCGGCGAAAAAGCGTTTTTTTGAAGAAATCCCAATGGGAATGTCATTAATAAATATTAAAAAGAGTAAGGGCCCAAGTACGAACCCCATGGGAACACCAGGAGATACATTTATTAAGGAAGATTCATGATCATCATGGACGTGACCTGTACACGGGAAAAAAGAAAGTCACGAATCCATGCAAACGGTTATTGGTCGAGGCAAAAAGATGATAGCTTAGAAAGAAGGCGCTGATGGAGGACACGGCCGAACGCTTTGGAAAAAAAAAAAACTGCGTCAGTTTGGACGTGACATTCAAGGTTAGTGTGCAAGTCATGGATGAAGTCTCAGAGTTGCGTTTCGCAGGAAAGTACCTTTTGAAAACCGTGCTGCTGCAGTGCTGTTTAAAGAAAAGAAATGGGATGATAGGTGCCTCATGATATTGGAGTAGAGGATATGCTCAAGTAGTTTGCAAGAAATTGAAGTCAATGAATTAGGGCGATAATTAGATGCGGAAGAGCGGCTGCCCTGTTTAAAGACTGGGAATTACCCTTCCCACCTTTTGGTCAGATGGAAGGCAGCTTTGAGATGAGGACTGAATGAAGATGAGTTTCAAATACTCACTAGAAATAACACGGGTGTTTCTTTTAAATTTTAGGGTTGATGTTATCGGTTCCAGCGGACGAAGTAAGTTTTAGTTTATCAATCAATGTTTTAATACCAGCGGAGTTAACGTTAATAGGATGCATGCGCTCGTAAAGCTCTTCAGGGAGAGTGGGGACGAAGTCCAAGCACTCTTTAGTAAACACTGATGAAAAGTATTCGTTAAACACAGAACTATCATGCTCGACGTTGCACATCCGACATTCCTAACTCTCCCCATCTTCCTAAACGTCCGTGTGTGTCCTAACACCAGAAACCGGAATTTTAAAGGTTAAAAACGGCACGTTGCGAATATGGAACGCGCACTTTCATGCAAAGCTGACGTCAAGTGACTCAAATCGAAAAACATGCATATTTACAGTAGTGTTATCTCTTCTGGTGAAGGCTAAACAACCGTTGCATCCGTTTTCGCGCACGAAACGGTGACTCCCAGAGAAAGTAAGAACGCAGTGATTGTCTTTATTGTAACAATGTAAACACACTTGCAGGCGTGCGCTGATGAAGCCTCAAAATCAAAACTCTCGTAGTGTGATTCGTGACTGCTCCGGCTACTACCCAACCTCGTTGTCACGCCACTTTCTGCAAGCAAACACTAAAATTGCCAGTAAACACACAAAAGCGACATCGATACAATTATCTTGTAGAATATCACCTTATTTAATCATAACTGTTTCAATAGGCACTACAAGTTGTATTTATTTTAAGAAGAAGAAGCAAAATTTTTTTCGTGAGAAAAAACAAAATATCAATGTTAAGTCTGGTAACGTTGTAATTTTGCCGAATCATTGCCACATCTTTAGAAAAGTTCGACAAAAGTTGCGCCGAATTTTCGATTAAGGGGGGGGGGGGGGAGAGGGTCGGGTTTGCCCCCCCCCCCCCCCCCCCCCCCACTCAAAAACAAGTTGGTACGCCACTGCTGCTAACCAGTGCACCCGTGCTTAGGCTTCGGCTGTTACTGGACACAATAAAGAAAATTATTATTATTATAATGATCGTGAAATGTGTATCCAACGGAGCTATAACCAGGGGTTAGACGTCAGTAGACGTCCAACCCGTTCGCTCTACTGACGTCTAACCCCTGGTTGGCTCAGTTGGTAGAGAGCTCCACCTGCAATGGAGAGGTCCCGGGTTCGATACCCGGACGAGGCGGATTTTTGCGGTCGCGCACCAGTCACCTAGCTGTGTTTGGAGATTTATGTTTGTCCTTTGTCCCTCTTGTTCCCCTTCTCCAGGGATTCTTTTCATCATTGTTGTCCAGCTCGCTTGCATGCCTTTGCATTTAAGGGGCACTTCTACATTTGAGAAAAAAACGCTTGAATTACGTTCATTTGGCCTTTAGAATAACAGATATCAAAATTATATTTCAATGCGACGCGCCGGAGAGTCATACGAGCAATTTCAAAATAGGACTGAAGCCCCGCCTCCCTAGCCTTGGGCAGCCAAAAGAGCCGTCGATGACGTCACGGACAGCGACTGTCTTTCGCGTTTTTCTCGCGTTTAACAATACTTACGCAGCAAATGGTTTGGGTATTCGGGTTCACGGGGTAAAAATACACTAGAATTCAATTCTGACTCATTTTTTCCAAGAAGCTCCGTAGCTTCCCTTTAATTGCATTATAATCATTCCTTTCGCTTGTTTGTTACACCTAAAATATATATATACGTTAGTCTACATTCATGCCTGTTAGCATCACGCAAAGCTTCGCACAAAAGGAAATAGAAGCGGAATCTCCAGAACAATGATTGTCCGCTGCCTTCGCGGTTACGCACTCGCGGAAGAACTCCACACCCGGAGAGCCCAACGGGAGGGCGTTTCTCCAACCTGAGAGCCGGAAGCACGGACCAGTCTGGCCACGCTGTCCTAGTAGCAGACGTGGCTTTCCCGCTCGCAGCAACCGGCGCAAACGCTGCACTGACATCAGCGTGGCCAAAAGATCGTCTTCTTCTTTTCACAGTCGTCCCCGGTCGCGTGAGGACGTCATGCGGTGCTGTCTGTTACTGGTTGCCTTCGTCGTGGGCGCAGACATCTGTCTGGCGCAGGAGAAACTCAAGATCGAGGTGCTCAAGACCGCCGACAAATGCGAGCGGAAAAGCAAGAAAGGAGATCTCCTGGCCGTGCATTATAAGGGATCTCTCTTGGACGGCACGGAGTTTGACTCCAGGTTGGTGGTATCTTGCGTTTCTCTGACCGCACTGCGTATCGTCGATCATTTGATGTTAATCTGGAAGCAGGACCTCTCCGATCAAGTCGTCTGCTAGCTAGGCTAGCATCACCCATTGATTTACTCAAAAACCTCCAATCAGGCACTGACACCAAAAGCGTGCACGTCCGTACCTCGTGCGGTATAAAAATATTAATAAAAAAAAATTAGGAACGGGCATTTTAATATATGTTAAGCTCTTCATGAGTAATCGTACCCCACGATCGGATGGACTCCCACAAAAGATTGTTATTAACTCGATCGTACCATCTGCTTGAGAGAGACTGATATCAGGGTTCGTTCATCGCCGAATGGTTCTTATCTCTCATTTCTATTAATAGATATCTGCTAGAGGGGTTTCAAACTAACAGCTAGACTTCTTAATTTTTTTTTTTCTTCCTTGTTTCCGTTTGTCAGTCACGGGCGGGGAGAGCCGTTCCGATTCCAGATCGGAGTAGGTCAAGTCGTCAAGGGCTGGGAAGAAGGCTTGCTCGACATGTGCGTCGGCGAACAACGAAAACTCACCGTCCCGCCCGAACTGGGCTACGGTGACGTCGGAGCGGGTGAGAACCAGTTGTTAAATCCAACCCCCCCCCCCCCCCCCCCCCCCCCGCTTACAAAAAAAAAAAAAAAAAAGTTAAGTTGACTTGGGTGGACGCGCATCTGCTTGAAATTACAGTTCGAATGCCTTTAAATTTAATTCATATTTCAAAACATAACGGCTGCGCGGCCGCGGCTCAGCAACCGTCACCCACGAATCGAAACCGTCAGAAGTCGTCTGCTTCGGTGCGCAAACCGCGGCTGTGACGTCACGATCGGAACACCGTGTGGCCCTCGTTCATTGGCTGCGCCACTATCGGCGTCATCAGTTTCTGTTCGGTAGTGAGGTCGGTATTTCGTTAATTATAAGTAATCAGTTATTTTAAAATCTATTAATTCGCTCACATCACAAGTTTTACTTCGGGATGAAGTGTCATTCGCAGTTACATTCCTGGCCAATCAGCGATGCCCACTGGCGCTATGACCTCATTTCTTGAATGCAAAATTGTTTATGAGAATAATAATATTATCGAGGAGAACGAAAGAGAATTTGCATAATCAACCGATATCAAAAACAAAACTGAGAAAAGAAAGTCACCTTTGGCTTTAATTAGCCCAAAGGACACATGTGACGTCTTCTAGGGATTGTTCAGATGTAACCTGATCTAGGGATTGTTCAGATGTAACCACAAGCAAAGGGTAAAACCCTTTGCTTGTGGGAACTTCGGATGTCATCCGGACATCTTCAAGAAGCAGATGTGACCCATTTGGTGGATGAAAATGAAAAAAACTCTAACTACATTTTTTTTTTTTTTCTAGCACGCTTTTCAGTTTGTATTGAAAACAGTCGTGCAGTAAACAAACTTCTGCTGCAGAATAGACCCAGGCAGCACAGATATGTCCTATGAATGTCCACGGAGCATACTGAAAACATCCGTAGAACCGCGTGGACTGTTGGTGGGTGCTCTCAGGGACGTTCCACGGACATCCATGGAACCTCGAGTTCCGTCCGGGCTGCCTCTATGTGTACTGTATTTCTTGGACTACAGAAAAATATCGCAGAAGTGCTAATTTTGTTCGAGTGCCCACTAGTAATATTATCCAAACTTTTTGCAAATTATAAGTTAATTACCCAACTTAACCAGACAAGTGCCCATGTCTCAACTAACCCACTTTTCGGTAAAAATGGGGTGGGTGATCTTCCGGTATTTTACGGTAGTCCGCAAACTATGAAAAGTTAAAAATTTTGCGGAGTGCAAACTACCTACAGGAGCGGCCTATACAATGATTTGTATTTTCAAGGTCGTTCACTGTGGCTAGATGCAACAAATTTTCTGAGTGACAGAGAATGCTATTGATGGTTTATGTACAGTACAGGCTTCTTTGCAAGCCAATAAAGCGGGCATTTGTCAAGCTGCACCATGCATGAGGATGTTTTATGAGCAGGCTAGGCACTAGGAGTGGACTAGGCACTGGGTGCAAACTATCAAAGGATAAACCTTTTTTTTTTTCCACCCAATATTTGCATTTGCAGACTATACGGAAGATATGGTACTAAAAAAACAAAGCCATTTGCAGGTGACAAGATCCCACCCAAGTCGACGCTGGTCTTCGAGACCGAGCTCATGAAGATTGACGACGGTCCCCCGCCCGTCAACGTGTTCAAGCAGATTGACGCCGACACAAACGGCCAGCTAAGCCGGGAAGAGGTGACGACTTTTCCTCCCATCTGCCGTCTCTTTCACCCGCGTAGGTCTGTCGTGATCCTGACCGCGACACACCATCTACGGCTACAAACTGCAAAGGCTGGTTCACACTCTTGTGGCTGCTTATGACCCAGTGCCTCAATATCTTAAAATCTCTTGCAACAAGAGAATGCAGTAGTGCCACCTTTAGGGTAACCGTGGAACACTGTATATTTCCTTTTTTTTGCGCATCATTCTTTCATTTCTGGCTCGAAAAACTTTTGATAAGGTTATAAACCATTTTTTGTCGATAGTATGTACATTTGATCTTGCAAATACCGCAAAACTTTTGCTATGAGTGAAATGCAGTTCTAGGGTCATATGATAGATGGCACCAGTGTGCAGGTCTGTTCTCTAGAGAGCCCAAATTAAAGGGAGGGAGTTCATTTTAAACCACGGAGAGCGCTTGCATTTTAATGGTGGACGCCTCCCACGGAGCTTGGTAGAAAGTGCGCTGCGTTGCCGCGTAGTGAGGAGGAAAGCGGGTGGAAAGGCAGATACGTTAGCAGATGATTCACACTTTCGCCACCTCCTTGCACGTCGTATTGCAAGCATGGCCCTCAAACCATGCGACCTCGGTGGTAAGTAAATTTTGTGAATGGGTCTTGGCACGCAGAAGTATAGGCATTATGCATCAGTTTCGAGCAAAGCTACATGAAACGCGAGATGTTACACAAATTATTTCAATCGGAAAAGCAGTGCTCACTTGTGGCACATCTATTTTGTTAATGGAGTAAAAACTAATTTTACAGCCATCTTGCACAGCGTGCGACAACTCTGTTTACAGCGCCGTCATCTTATTGGACCGTATCTAAATCAACAACTTTGCGGAGTGTCATGATTTTGCACAAAGATACAAATTGAAAATAAATTTTAGGTTTATACTAAAGGATTATGAAGGGTTTTCTGTATTTTTTGTTGCTCCAACATGATCTGCCTACTCCGCAGCCTAAAAATCCATCAACAATTTGCGTATGTCAGCCCTGCCTAAGAACCCCAATCATAGTCTTGTAAATTGTCTCTTCATTGAAAAAAAAAAAAAAAAAAGATTCTTTCATCCTTGATTGGCACAGAGAATGACGAAAGTATGAGTTTGATTGCACGCTTTATGCAACAGCTTACGTAGTTAATTTGCTGACTACCAGACTTTGCGAAGTAGGCAGGTCACGTGGAATCGTATCAAAGCACGGCCAGTAACCACCCCAGTTGACCTTTAAAGAAGTAAGAGAATGGCACTGACAACTGCTGTGCCATTTGTTTTGAGGAACCAGGCCAGTTAGTGTTCCCACTCTCATGTGTCAGAGAGCTGCTTGTCAGCTTTCAGAGCGATGCCAAGGCCGCCTCTTGACAGTAAAGCCGTGAAGCTCGCGCGCGTTACCTACTCGGCTACATGACGGTGATGAACATCACGTACACACGTTTCCTTGAATCCCTCCAGCTGGGAAAATACCTGAAGGACCAGCTTCCAGCTGCCCAGGCTGCAGGACTCAAGGACCTCCCAGACCCGGAGAAGATGGTGGAGGAAATCTTTCAACACGAGGATCGCGATCGCGACGGCTTCATCTCCAAGGACGAGTTCAGCGGTCCTAAGCACGACGAACTCTGAGAGTTCAACGCCTTAGTCCATTTCCACATTTCATTTTTTCACTCTCCCGTCGATGATCGAAGGTCGTTTCGCCTGGCCTCAAGGTCAAACTCGGACCAATGATGTGCCGCCCCTTTAAACTCTGCGACGTCCGAGCCGCAAAATATTTTTCTACCTTAGGATAGGCACAAGTCTTCCAGCCCTTGGGGCTGCCGGAACTCTTACCACAGTTTTTTCACCTTGAAGGTCGTTCTACATTCTTTCAAGGTCAAACCTGAACTACACCCCTTTTGTGCCACATTAAAATGTAGCTCATACTAGCAGAGTATAAAACCGTTAGAGGTCTACATGCAATGCGAAGTTAGAACCAAACTTTTGCTACTCTCCCGTGTGTACAACTTTTTTAAATCTAGAAACAAAGTGTAGCACTTTTTGTTGGCTAGCAACAATCGTTGGTCAGCAGGTTTCAGTGCCTTAAATCTCAAAAAGCGACAACATAACATATTTATGCTTTTTGTGATTTGGAAGGCAGCTACGATTTTTTTTACCTTGGTTTTAAAAATTTTTTTCCACGGTTTACAATGTACAGCACTTTTTCTTTTGCACGACTTTTGCCCATTAATTCTAGACCAACTTTTTAGCTCGTTTAATTTACAATTAGCAATTTGGCATTCAATGTGTAAATATGCAATTGTTTAATCTGTACACTAGCAACAGAACTTATATTTACAAATGAACATCTTATATTTACAAATGAACAAGTATCACAATGGCTAAGCTGCGCTTGTCATTTGCATGTACAATCACGGTTGGTGTACAAATGTGTCGTGGCACTGCCAAGATCAAACAATGTTGAACTGGACCGTCCCATAAAACTGCGTATACACTGTTGCCAAAAGTTTCAACATCCTGCAATTTGGAACGAAAAGATTCTTAGTACGAAACATTTCATGCCTTATCACATTACGGGAGCTCATCGGATGCAATAAACCCTTCATACAAAGACCAGCCTTGTTTTCTGTCCATCTATAAACATTATAGGAACTCTTGAATCGTCACCGACGGAATGAGAATTTGAGCTAGGACGACGAGCAGCCAGAAAGGAGAAATTCTCCCTCAATTCCTCCTCTCCAATCGAGAAAGAGGGAGACCCTCCGCCTTCCTGCAGCGCGAGGAGGAGGCAGGGAATGGAAAGAAGGAAAGTGGGAGCCGGTTTTCTGCTTGGCAGGGGACGACTCTCCAGGTCGGCCTTTGAGAATCATGTTCGGATACCTAGAGAACGACGGGGCACGGCACCTTGCGTCTACGCTTCCTTGCCTTGCAATTGGTTCTTTGGTGTTCTCATTGGCTAATGCTGCAATCTCATTGGCCACGGAGCGGTGCCAAGATGTCTGGGACTTGCTGCACCCTGCGTTCCTCAAGTTGTCGGCGACTACAATACCGATAGACGAGGAGAGTCGCATGAAGCCGGTGGTTAGTTGAAATCATGTTTTGTGTCAAAGAGCAATGTTAGCTTGTGTTAGACATCTCTGCAGGAAAATATGTGGCTCTTTTCGTTTATTTCAAGCAAAAATACAACCTTAAAAGGGACTCCTGAATACAGAAAGTGGAAGGAAAACACTGCTCTTTCTCAAATTTCAAATAAAAAAAAAAGATTGTCTTAACTTAGTTTTGTAAAATATATCACTTAAAAGCTAAGATGACTAGGAAATATAATTGAAAACTCCTCGCCAGAAATGCAGTCTGGAGAAATGTATGTGGTTGTTTTTAGTGTTTAAAATTTTTCACTGGATATTATGGGAAATTATGCATGTCCTTACCACTGCAGCACCTGCTATGCGACGCTGAAGAGTGTAAAAAAGAGTGAGAAGGCAGCGCAGTTGCATGCTTGCAGCCCCGCTCACATTGCCCCATGTCATCTCCTACAGCTGGCTCTATGGTAGGTCTATACAGGCAGTTCCCAGAATTCCTCTTGCACGACCATCGGCAAGTTTTGTAAAAGGTTCGTTTGAACACTTGCCACACTCTCTGCTGCAGGTTCACGGCACTGCTGCTGTACTGCAAAAGTATAAAGTGACCGCAGTGGATTTTGTGCCGTAAAACAAACCGAATGGCGGACGTGTTTGCAGACGACCGAGTTAGCGATGAATGTAACTCGTGGTGCCATTTCTCCTTAGGTGCAGACAGCAGGCGACGCACTCTGTTCTCTCCTAACGGTGACTGTTGTGAGACTGCGTCACAAGTTACAACCGTCGCCAACTTGGTCGTTTGCAGACGCGTCCGCCGTTGACCCTGGAAATTATGTCTATCTCGTTTTTTGCATGAAAGAGGGAGACCCTCTTTCCCTTGCAATTTCACTGGGTAAAATGTACTACTTAAACACACATTTGGTGAATGTTTGAGCTTCGTATGGGCAGGTGCCAATTTCTCCGGCTCGTTTCACGGCGTAAGGTCCACTGTGGCCACCCTATAAAACAGACACAACTGCACAGGACGAAGAGTCTTTAATGTCGAGACCTGTTACCAAGTCTCAAACTTTATTATCTTTTCTTAAAAACTACTGTCATATCCCAAAAGGTGGCCCCCTCCCAAAAACGAATGACTTAAAAAAAAAATAAACAGGAAAAGAACTTTGTTTCTATTCCTTTGTCTAATCGTCTTTGAGTCCGTCAAATGAACGCTCACAAACAACTTCAAAAAAGAAACACGAGATTTCCCATCCTCAGAAGGGGTCAATGTGATCAGTAATTGTCTTCAAGTCAGTTTAAACGATCAACCACTATGGCTTTCAGAACACAAATACACGAGTTTGCAGCCTCAAAATGAGTCGGTGCAGTAGATCAATAAAAAAGAAACAGACATGCTTTCATCATTATTTGTCCCATTGTCAGCAAAATGGTTCATGAAAACTGGGCAAAAGATTACAATTTTGACACAGGAATTCACATCACCCTTGAGCAGATTTTAAGTTTGGTCCCAGGCGACCTTATTTTCGGCGTTATCTCAACAACGGGGAAACTGTGTAGGCATTGAGGGTGGGCCGCCTTTCGGGATATTACGATAGGTATGAGTAAAAAGAAAACAATGAAGGCTCGTTTAGAAAACGTCGTTGTAGGAAAGCCCCTCGTAGCTGCTGCTTACTCCTGAAACTCGATTCCGAGACAGTTTATCACAAAGCTGTAGGTGTCCGTGAGCTCGTCAATCTGCAAATAATTAAGAAAAAAATGCTTCAGTGCTCTCCCTTTTCAAACCTTCAATTTAACGGACACTCTCCGTTAAAGAGCAAGTGCATATTAATGGAGACCCTCCACACATTACATACGCTTCCTAAATTGCCAAAAAATTTGGTTACAAGCCTTAGTGGAGCTACTAGCGTCGTACACATCGCGACACTGTTAGCGCGAACACGACATTGGCACATTTTCGCATTTTACTTCTAAATAGTATTAGCGAGCACAAAATTTTATTGCTTACTTTATAGAACTGAATGAGCTCTTTCCATAGCAACAATAACTTGGAGGACGTCCCTTGGTTTCAAAGAGAAAAACTGGAAAAACCGGCAATCGCTTGTTCACACTAACAGTGTTGCGCTATGTACATATTGGTGATGGGTCAGCTTGAACTTGCAGAAACACACAAGGAAAGGACTGGACAGGACAAAACAGCCGACTAAGAGCTTTGTTTCTTCATGTGCATCTCCCTCAGAGGCTGCTCACGTATGCACAACTAAATATTAGATTAAAAAAAAGTATTTACGCGAGAAAATTATTAAATATAACCTTACAAACTAAAATTCATCCAAGTTATCTGGGTGTGGCACACCGCCGCTCTTATTTGGTGCGAACAGCGAAGGTGCCAAAACATTCCTCCGCAAGTCTTTCAATGACCGGTACCTCGAGCATCTTGCGTGCAAAGGGATCCTCGTTCGTTGCGAGAATTGCGACGTCGCTGAATGCTGCACTGCATTTGCATGTCCTACAATGAGCCGGCAGATGGCCCGCTGCTGCGCCCTTCACGGATGCTGTACGTTGCCTACTTCCGTCGTTTATACGTTGACCAGTTTGTCGCACGAAAGGGCCACGTGATAGAGAACTCCCGTCTGACGCATCTGTTTTGTCCTGCCCCGTCCTTTCTTCGTGCGTTGCTATGGGTTCAAACTAATCCATCACCATTAGCGAAAAATTAGTGTCAAGGTGAAACTGACAGAGGGGAGCATCCAGCACAAGCTTCCTACCTTCAAAGATGCTTCAAAGACATTTCCACTTTTGTCATTAAGCGTAACATATATTATATTCTTTGAGGAACTAGTAACTCGGTATGAGTGATCACCTTCTCAAAACTACGTTTGCAAATACAAAAATTTGCGGCGATTTCGCCTCGACGTCGGCCTCGCACGTTGCTACTGCCCCGAAATGCCATGAGCAAACAGCCACCTCAAAACTAAATTATATATGTTAATTTGGGCATCATAAACTGGACGGTTGTCCAGCCACTGCATGCGTGCATTGACATCGCAAGATGATTTAAAAATATTCGTAAAAAAAGTGGGCCGTTTCTTCTGAGTTACCGTAACGAGGTATAAACTTGCAAAAACTAATATTGTGACTAGGTTAATGCAGCCGTAACCATGGACGCGAACTTCTACGGATGTAACCGTACTTGCAACCTAGTCACATTTCAGCCCACGTGACTATACCCTAACTGCTTTTTAAGAGCAAGGAGCTTGTATAAGGTGTAGAGCTTACGTCTCATGCCTTTGCTGCGGTCTACATTCACGTGAACCGAGGTGTACTGGTAATGCTACAACAGGAGCATGGAATGTTAATCTTTTAAGCCCTACGTTCCACGCACGTCATGATGCAGCTTTGGCATGCAAGATTTATATGAGCAATAGTATCTGCAAATACTCCCAGGTAAAAATGAGTCCAGCTGCAGCTGGACTGAACTAGTTCCAGCTGGATCTAGCTGGAAATGAGACAGTCCAGCTGGATCCAGGTAAGACCAGCTTCATGATCCAGCTGCAAGTGGGCCGGTGGACCGGCTGTCAATGACCTTGGCACTTGGAGATCCCTATACCAAAAAGGGTATGGAAGGACGAAGTGAAGCCTCCGTAAGCTCCAATTCTGCAAAGTTAAATCTACATGTCCTTGCGTGAAAAACGTTTTCACAGAAACAGCTTGATTTTCATACAGGTATTATACCTGCATGCTTTCATATAAAAAGGTAATTTGACAGAACAAATGCAATTTTGTTTAAAACCAACAATATAGCTTTTAATATTTATTTCTTTTTTTTTCATTTGACTTTATAAACCAGTTTTCCATATTTCCTCTACTACCAAGCAGCAACTTCCTGCTTCATGAAAATTCGAGGCTGTGGAAAAAAAAACTTTCAGCCCTTTCACTCTGGTGAAAAAGGAAGACCAGCGAAGCTGTAAAATCGTCAGACGACCTCAAGGACGACTTCTTGGACGACGTCTAGGACGATGTCTAGGACAACCTCAAGGACGACTTCTAAGACAACCTCGAGGACGACCTCAGGGACGACATCTAGGCGACCTCAAAGACGACGCCTGGACGATCTTAGAGACAATGTCTACGACGATCCCAAGAACGACTTCTAGGACGAGTTCTTAGACAACGTCTAAGACGACCTCAAGGACGACTTCTGGGACGACCTCGAGGACGATGTCTAGTAAGACCTCAAGAGTGATTCTAGGACGAGCTCGAGGATAACATCAAGGACGACCTCAAGGACAACTTTTAAGATGACCTCGAGGACAACTTTTAAGACGACCTCGAGGACAACCTCAAGAACGACCTCAAGGACAACTTCAAGGACGACTTCGAGGACGACATCTAGGATGACGCCTAGAGAAATTCAGCCTTTACACTCTGGTGTAAACCAGAGTGGAAAGGCTGGAAAGGTTGTCGCCGTCTATGAGCAAGGCCGACAAGCCGATTGTCTGGTTGCCGCCGTCGCTCATAGATGGCAGCAGCTGTCCAGAGTTTTGTGTCGACATTTCTTTGCGGGCGACACGATCCTGGGGAAACTAGCCCTTCACAGCTCTGCTGTAAAAAGCGCATCATATTCCAATACACAGCTATAATCTATAGTATGGGCATACTTTAAAGGAACAAGGCACATAAAACAAAACATTTTGGGTCACAATCACTAAAGAGAAAGCAGAAACATCTTGGCAGCACCCGAAAATAATTTCCTAAAATAAAAAGAAAAAGAAGAGAAAATCACACATAGACAACGACAACAAACCACACAGGTGGAAATTGCAAAGGCCGGTACTGTTTTGTTTGGCCGATCGCTCTATAAAACTGCACAAAGGCCCCTCAATTACCATAAAACAAGTATTTACCTACATCCCCAAATAAACTTTCCCCAAAAAACACACAAAAAAAACAAAGAACAACATACATTTACAGTAGCGCAATCTTTCTGTTGCGAGAGTCATTTCGAGTTGGGAGCTACTCCGAAATGAGCTTCTATTGCTAGGCCAACCCCTCAAAAAAAAAAAAAAAAAGCCCATTGTGGAATTCCCAATGCACGTTCCCAGCATTTCTCTCGGTGTCTCAGTAGTTTGGAAAAACGTCTATTAAAGAGGGAAGCCCTTTTATACAGGGAAAAAGGCAGTCTGCAACGGGCTCAAAATCAATGTTCGGGACGACTCGTTTTGAATTTCGTTCGCTTAGCAAGGAAAGAGAGCCTCACCACTTTGGAGATGGGTTTCCCAGCACCGTGCCCTGCCTTGGTGTCCACGTGGATCATCAGGGGGTTTGTCTGCGAGCAACACGAGCGGTGGAGACAAACGGAGGATGAGAAGAGCTCGACAGACAGTCAATGCGACGGCACCCTACAACGCGATGACGAATCAAAGTGGCGCGTGCAAACAAAAACTAATTCCCGTTCAGCGGAACAAGACAGAGCCGGAGGACACGCGCGTGACCTCGTCCCGTCCTTCTCACGCTCTTATTTCGCCGCAGCGATCGACCGGCTAGCCCAGCAATCTACTACTTCGTCGTTTCTGCTCCTTGTTCCCAATATGGAAAATCATTTCGCGGTCTATCCAGCTACAGTGCCCAGAAGGCGCGTCCAACCGGGATCTCTACGGCGTCCCCGCTTCTAGTTCCTGCATCTTCTCGACGTGACGACACGACCAGCACGCTCCGTCACCGGCCACGATCCCGGCGGCGAACGTGTGCGTGGCAGACACCCGTCCCGTCGTGGGTCACTCCGCAGCCGGCCTTTCGACGGACGCTTGCGTCTACCACCGAGCCGAGATGCTGCGATGACGGCCTCTCTCGCGTCTACCAGCCTTCTTCGACCAACTGCCGGGATAGCGACGAGTCATTAAGTGCCCGTTTGCACGCACACCGCGGCGCCAACTCCGGCCATGGGCCGTTTTAACGGTCGTCTCCTGTGAGCTGCCATCTCCTTGAAACAGACCGTGGAATGCGATCTGAGCGTGTGCAGTAGCTTTCTTCTGCCAGGCGTCGGACACCACACATGCATTCGCGGCCCGGTGACTCGGCAATTTCGGCTCAGGCGATAAGCACCGGAGAGATGCATAGAAACAGCGCCAACCTCGCATCACCGTAATATCCCCCAGACATGGCCCACTTAACATCGAAAGCAACCAGGGTGAAAATGAGGAGTAAGCTAACTACCGATGCGCGACCAAACATATTCGAAACAAAATGTAATTTTCAGATTTTGTGGCCTGTGAAACTCGCAACCGCAGCTAGGGGCAACGAAGCAAAGACGACCATCCTTCCGAGTTGGCAACGTTCGCTCGCCTTCCGTCGTAGCTAAGTACGATGCCGCTCCCGCCGAAGTCACCGTTGGCCCGGTCCCGTGATTATTAGACAAGTGGGCTATCTTCTGGTGGTTTTGGAAAACAAAAAATTGCGCTGAAAATAGCAGGCGGGTTATCTTTCAGGATAACCCGCACTATGGGATGTTAGGGTGCTATGTCAGCGCTGTATTTTAAGGTGGCTCGGCCATTTTTTCTTCGCCTCTGTGCTACCCACCCTCACCTGCTTGTCGGACTTTCCGACGGCGTGCTGGAGCTCGGCGATGAACTTGAGCGAGTGGCAGGGCACCACCCGGTCGTCGTGGTCCGCTGTCAGCAGGAGCATGCTGGGGTACTGCACCGCCTCCGGGGGCACTCTGATGTTGTGCAGCGGGGAGTACCTGGCCGGGGACGAGGAAGAGACGGAGGGTCAGCACGAGGTGAAATGGTGTCTGCTCCCCGACGTTTGGGGACTATGCCTCTTGGCAACCTCATGAACCGAGGACACGTGTTCTAGACGCAAGCACTCGGGGTTTCGGGCAACAGAAAACGGGGGGCTCGCAAACATTGAACTTTACGAATATGAATCGAATGCGAGTAGAGAGCTTCAAATATCAAATCAAATACTGAATAGTCTAAGGCAATTGCATTTATTCCCAACTTTTTAAAACATGAATGCTTCTTAACAGAAACTCCCAATCCCAAAATTTTGTCCGTTCGTCCATTTCTGCATTTCCCGCTAAATTTAGGGGGGAGACTGAATTGCTGTTTGGGTCGTGTGACGTCAACTGATGCCATGTGACTCGGGGTTTCGGGCAAAAGAAAGCAGGCGGCTCGCGAACATTGAACTTTACGATTACGAATCGAATGCGAGCAGAGAGCTTCAAATATCAAATCAGATACTGAACAATCGGAGACAAATGCATTTATTCCCAACTTTTAAAGCATGAAATGCTTTTCAATAAAAACTCGCAATCCCGAAATTTGGTCCGTTCAACCATTTTTGCATTTCCCGCTAAATTTAGTGGGGAAGCTAAAGGTTGCGCGACGTCAACCGGTGCCACGTGAGCTGACATCACATGATCTATACACCAATTAAGTTTCCATGCAAAGTCGGCGGGAAATTTGATGCGGTGTGAACCGACATCACGTGGCCTATACACCAATTCAGCTTCGTTATATTTAGTGGGAAATTTCATGTCGCATGACGTGACGTCACAGACCTATACACCAATTTAATTTCCCTGCTCAATGTATCAGGGAATTCGATACAAATAAAGGCGCTTCATAACCCAAAACAATGGTTTAATCTCTTCTAAATGCAGTCGAGCTCGGTTATATCACACCCGGGTATTTCGAATTATTGCTTATATGGAACAGTCCAAACATCCCCTTGAAAATCCCATGTAATAGTACAGGAGCATATTTTTTTTGTTTCAAACTCCCATGGCGGGGACACTTGATATAGCGAACAAACGACGGCCGCTCGTCGATTCTCCCGAGGTTGGATTTGGTCCCGTGGCGAGCACATAGCTCACGTTGTGGGGCTTGCAGACCGCCAAGCCAGCATATGCACACGGGGATGTGCACGGGGATGCACAGCAAAAAAACAATTGTAAAAAAAAAAATGGTGGATGGCAAAAGCAAGCGGAAGGGCACAGGGAGTGCCCACTGTTAGAATGGTAGCGTGCACTCTTTCCCCAAACACCACTGTCGCTGCGCGACTCCTTAGCCCCAAAATAAAAAAATAAATAAAAAAGTCATCATGAACTTTTTTGCCTTTTTTTTGTAATTTTTTTTTTTTGCGTTCTACTGTTTTTTAAAATTATTTTTGTGTTTTGTTGCTGGCGCTGTGTGGAAATGACCCGCCAAAAACGATCACAAACACCGTCGCCTAAATGAGGCGGTGTTTGTGATCTTCACCAACTAAGCTTTACTGTATTTAGTGGCTCTTAGCGGCTCTATTTGGTAAGGTCCCGTTTGTCGCAGCCTACGGTATTATCAGAGACGTGCGGAAATTTCAACTGGAGCTCAAGTTAACATATTTTTGTATATCAAATTATCGATATATCAAACTATTTTGCGATATCTTTGAATTCAATATATCCAGGTTCGGCTGTAGTTTTAGACGATTGCTCCTCAAGTACTGCGCTTCATGCATTAACGCTGCCAATTTCTTTGTTTCCACATATTGGAACAGCAAACCTGCATAGACGAGAAAAATAAAAAGGTATTTGAGCTCGCATTTGTTTTTTCTTACAGCAGCTCAGTTCGGTGTGCAACGTTCGTTGGCACTGATCAATCTTTTCATGGCGTACCCGCCGTAATCTCTCGATCCTCCTTCATCAATACTGAACCCAGTTTCAGATGGTTGACAAGGGGTACCTGTCGGTGTTAGAAGTGCCGAGTCGCACGTCGTGGACAGCGCCATCGTCGCCCTTGCAAAGAACTGCCTACTTCTAAATGGCACTCCTTGCTCTTTGTTTTGGCACCGTCTCTCCTTCGTTTCCTCGCTTCGCAGACAACTCACCACAATTGTCTTCGTCTGCCATTGTACGGAAAGGCGAAGCAGCGCAACACTGGACGCGCAGTGGTATAGTAGTAAAATCAGTTGAATCGCAAGTTAAACAACCGGGAAGGAGTTCTAGAGTCATATATTACTGCTACCGTATCCCCAACTGGACGGTGCGGGCTCCGACCGTCCGATTAACGATAGGGTAGTAGTTTCAATGAGCTTTGTTCATCGAAACTGTGAGCAGAACTATAGTCGGTGACATTTCTAGAGTTCAGAGGAAGCACCTACCACCCCTCTCCACTCTAGCAGAGCGAACACTGGAGAGGAGATAACCTTTTCTCCAGAGTCCACCCTGCTAAAGTGGAAAAAGGAGGGAGGAGTTTCATCTGAGCTTTTAAGGCCCGTTCACAGACTTGCAATGGAGTAGGACCAGCTGAGACAAGACCGGTTTCCAAGCCTCTTACGACGACTTAGGATCAAATGCGCTGCTGCGTAGCAGGTCCTAAGCCGTCGCAAGAGGCTTAAAGGGACACTCAAGCGGTTTTTGGAGAAGCTACTTTTTGGTGCGATGGTGTTAAGGAAGTGTCAGTGAATGAGTATCTTCAGTTTTAGAAGGCAGAAACGCCTATTAATCACGCAGGAATAAAATACGTGCGGACTCTTTTCTGTACTTGCGAGAACCAATGAAATTATCGTATGTTTGAAAATTTTGGCGGTCTTTTTAAAGTTTCGCTAAAAAAACAATTTTCAGTGCATTTAAATATGTTGTGCATGATAATTTCACAAGACGTAAAATATTTCTAGTTCAGAATATGCGATAGCGCAATTATCGTTTCACAAACAAGGGACTACGTTTTCTATTTGCCTTCCTCCGTGGGGGGTGAATTTCCCGTTCCTCAGGGATGCGCGGAAGCGCACGTATCTCCGCGCGTTGCAGGCCGGCTCCTTCTATCCGCAAACTTGGCGTCGGTGGTGATCGTCGGAATGGACGGCCTGGTGAAAGCTGATCGTTCCGCCTAAAAGCGCTATCCTTGACTGTGAATTTTCGTCGTGTTTCGCTATGATAACCCAGCACGTACTAGAAGGGAACATCCACCTACTCGTGCGGCGATGTCGTGGCGGCACTCTCAAGATAGCAGAAACGCCCGTGCCGTCGTGTTTGTTTACTTCGACTACAGTGGTGCTTTCTAAGCATTTGTGTCCTCGAACATCGCCCGGATTTCTGATTTGGCGCATTTCATGCGTGTGCTCAAGTTCAAGGTTTTACTGGCGCGTACCGTATAAAGGATACGAATTTTCACGCGTTTTCATCACCGGAGAAAAGTGATTAGTGTTAGCAATCTTGAACGCTCGCAACGTCTATCTGATCACGAAATCATATTTCTACGTTGCTATATCGCTGCTAAGATTACATTGTCTTTTATAATCGTAGAAAAGGCGTGTAGCGATATTTGTACTATTGCAATGTCGTGTATTAGAGTCGTGATCGTCCAAGACGGCGCTGCATCTTTTTATTTTATTTTTTTCATTCGCTGTACCCTGCAAGCCTATCAAAAAAAAAAATAATAAAGCTTTAGACTAGAAAACTGTCTGTCTATATTCTGTTACGGCATTGAGTAGCAGTGCGTCCCCTTTTTTAGAGGGGCCGCTGACACAGCTGACGGCGGCGTACAGAAGCGGTCGCCGTGCTGACGACCCGCTGCGCTTGTTGTAGTGGTTGCAGGTGTGTGTACGCGCGGCGCAGTGCGGTCGTTCCGGTCGCTCCGGTTGCAACGGACGCAGTCGTCGGTACGCGCTCGTTGCACATGTCTGAACCAGCCTTTTCCCCGTTCTCCCGAGGCGAAAGTCAACGTGGCGACATCGTTTGACATCACGTACCAGAGGTAACGCTGCGATGTCAAACGTTGGTTTGGTTACGACTTGCCCCGACCGCAAATCGAAGAACGCCGGAAAAGGTCTGCGTTTCGTCGTCCTCGGAACCCGAACATGACTCCGAAGCGCTGCCGGCGCTGCTATCGTCCACATCGCACGTCGGAGTGGCGTCATAGGAAATCATCCCCAGGTCGGCTGTTCGCCGAAGAACTTCAACCTCTAACGGCGTCAGGTCCTCGAGCGTAGAGAACTCCGCCATGATCGAAGCTCGAATGACAAGGAAGGAGGTTCGGCCGATGCGGCTACCTTGGCTACCTCGGGATCACTGCGCGACGGAACGTCGTCCAACGCCATTGGCCCGAGATCCTTTTGATAAGCGTGCGACGACCAATGAGAGTGGTTTCGTTTTCGAATGGATCCGAGGTTTGGCGGCCTTCAATTACATTTTTATTAAAGAAATAATCACCGTATGACTATACTTTTTGGTTTTTAGGGATACTTAAGGCGTCTAAATTCAGCAGTCATTATCAAAACACGAACTCAAAAACCACTTGACTGTCCCTTTAAAATTGGTCCCGTCTCAGCCAGTCCTACTCGGTTGCAAGTGTGCAAGCATGCCTTGACACCAACTGTAGTGCTTTCAGATCTATTCTTGAATATCTGGTTAGCTTGAAATAATTGCATCATTTCGAGTACCATATTTTTTGGTGTATAAGTCACATTTTTTTACCATCTTTCTCGGTGCATTTTATACGACTATGCAACTTATATGCGGGTGGTCTTTTATTTTAATTTCAGGGTGTAACGCTATTTTTTGTTGCACCGCACACCATCTTTCGTAAGGCACCGTAACTATGTAGCCATAGCTGGTGTTATCCCTTCCAGGAGGCTCTGCCATCCTCCTCAACTTCCGAGAACCACCCCTGGCCTATCCTGTCGCCACATTATCGCATTTGCCAAATTTACCTTTGTGTTCCCTGTGTTCCCATTTTGTATCGGCATCGTACGAACATG